GAAACATTCTCAAGAAAAAACACGCATAGGGTTGGTATTTTGCCTGCACGACCTTAAATGATGATTGTTTATGTGTATACATGTGTATAACACGGAATCCCTTCATTTATTTCAAACTTGAGATACATTTTGCATTTTGAAGGGAAAACACGCGTGTGTGCGCGCGCGCGCACACACACACACACACGCGCACACGCACACACACACACACACACACACACACACAGCAACAACAAAACGACCATTTTTAGCTCACCTGTCACAAAGTGACAGGGTGAGCTTTTGTGATCGCTTTTCGTCCGGCGTCCGTCCGTCCGTCAGTCGTCCGTCCGTCGTCCGTCCGTAAACTTTTGCTTTAAATGACATCTCCTCATAAACCACTGAGCCAATTTCATCCAAACTTCACAGGAATGCTCCTTTGGTGGTCACCTTTAAAAATTGTTCAAAGAATTTAATTCCATGCAGAACTCTGGTTGCCATGGCAACCGAAAGAAAAATCTTTAAATATCTTCTTTTAAACAACCCCAAGAGCTAGAGCTTAGATATTTGGCATGAAACATCTTCTAGTGAGTGTCTACCAAGTTTGTTCAAATAAAAGCCCTGGGGTCAAAATTGGCCCCGCCCCAGGGGGTCATTGATTTTCCCTATATGCATATAGTAAAAACTTAAAAAATCTTCTTTTAAAGAACCCAAAGAGCTAGAGCTAAGATATTTGGCATGAAACATCTTCTAGTGAGTGTCTACCAAGTTTGTTCAAATAAAAGCCCTGGGGTCAAAATTTGCCCCGCCCCAGGGGGTCATAGATTTTCGCTATATGCATATAGTAAAAACTTAAAAAATCTTCTTTTAAAGAACCCAAAGAGCTAGAGCTTAGCTATTTGGTATGAAACATCTTCTAGTGAGTGTCTACCAAGTTTGTTCAAATAAAAGCCCTGGGGTCAAAATTGGCCCTGCCCCAGGGGGTCATTGATTTTCCCTATATGCATATAGTAAAAACTTAAAAAATCTTCTTTTAAAGAACCCAAAGAGCTAGAGCTAAGATATTTAGCATGAAACATGTTCTAATGGGTGTCTACCAAATTTGTTCAAATAAAAGCCCTGGGGTCAAAATTGGCCCCGCCCCGGGGGTCATTGATTTTCCTTATATGTGTATGGCAAAAACTTAAAAATCTTCTTTGAAAAAACCCATATAGCTAGAGTTTAGATATTAAGCATGAAACATCTTCTAATCAGTGTCTACAAAGTTTGTTCAAATAAAAGCCCCGGGGTCAAAATTGGCCCTGCCCCGGGGGTCATTGATTTTCCTTTTTTGTGTATAGCAAAAACTTAAAAATCTTCTTTGAAAAAACCCAAATAGCTAGAGTTTAGATATTAAGCATGAAACATCTTTTAGTAAATATCTACAAAGTTTGTTCAAATAAAAGCCCGGGGGTCAAAACTGGCCCTGCCCCAGGGGTGTCATTGTTTTTAACTATATGTGTATAGTAAAAACTTAAAAAATCTTCTTTTAAAAAACCCAATGAGCTAGAACTTAGATGTTTAGCATGAAACATCTTCTTATGGGTGTCTACCAAGTCTGTTCAAATAAACAAATAAAAGCCCTTGGGTAAAAATTGGCCCGGGGGGGCTATATACAGGTGAGCGACCTCAGGGCCATCATGGCCCTCTTGTTTAAGGATTTTTTTCGAAGTTGTCATTTTAACCCACTCATATTTTTCTATTAAAGTTTGAAACGAGTTGAAAATTACCGAATACATGTACTACCTCTAGTCAAGAACGTTTATATCTGATAAGAGTGCCTTGTAGTATTCATATATGAACGATAAATGGGATTTTTCATTAATCAAACCATGAATGTCCTCGTTCAATTTTAGACCTTTATTCCCAATTATGTTTATTCGAGTCCGAATATCGCCTTCAGAAACATTTGCAGGTCTTCATATAGTGTCTCTCGAATTTTTCCTGCTCTGTTGTCATACGTATTACTTTATCAATACTATAATTGAACACTACTGAGTATGTTTTTAATAGGAGAGATTTACCACCACGTCACTGATAACTGCTGTGTGGACTACGTATACACACAATCTTAGAAGGTCGTACAAACAACATGTAAACAATGATAGCATTTTCTGTAAAGTTAACATAAGATGATGTTCCTGGGGCAAAGTTTTAAAGATCAGAATTATCTGAACATATATTTTTTGTAATATTCAAAATGAAGAAAAAAAATACAAAACTGTTTTCTAAATAGTATTGATATATTTTATATATAAGATAAGTGTGATGTTATAAAGGGTTTTATTTTTGCTAAACATCTACATGTACTTTAATTTTTATGTCTATATCAATCTTGAAACAACTCGCTACATGTGTTCTATGAATTATCATTTTTATGTAAAATATGCCTGCTAATTGCTCAGTTTTGTTTCATTTTCATTTTCCCTTTTTTCACCCTGTCAATGTAAATATGTTTTATGATTCAAGGGTATTATATTTCAGCCGCTTAAGACCCAAAACTGAGTGTTGTTAACATAAATATAATTTAAAACTTTATGCTTAGTTCATGTTCAGTTTTAAGTATTTAGCAAGTCAAAGTGACATTATGCTCATATTTTCATAGTCAATTTGAGCTGAATTGACTTTATATTTCAAAAGATTGACTGTTAAAATGGTGTTTGACCAACAGGTGATATTTGAAAATGTTTGGGATAAATTTAATTTATTTAAAAAGTTGACAAAATCCCCAGTTAAACATGTTTACAGCAGCCAATATAAAAAAGAAAAGGCAACATAATTACTCAAAATAGTCATGTGTCACATCTGTGGTTGGAAAAAAATCTGGGATCAGGTAGATATGATAATGACCTCCGTGAATTTATTTCAGAATACTGGTACACCTCTAAAACTATATCATACTTATAAGCTAGGCATTATATATTTGATGTAGTTAACTAATTATAACTTTTTTAAGGCCACATATTATAACAAATATCTAAACAATGTCTTTATAATTGTTCGAATATTTCTTTTGCCTACAGTTTTTATAATTGTTTGAAGATTTCTTTTCCCTACAGTTTTATTTATTTTCAATAAAAAATAAATAAATAGGAAATATGAGATAAGAAAGATTGTTCTGTTTATATAATTTTGTAGTCAGTACCTTTAAAAGTACAATAGAATTGCATCGTTTCTTACAATAATTAAACATATTTCCCCAGTCACTTTGCAAGCTTAATGTTAATGTTTTACTTTAATTATTTTCAATCACCTGTTTTATTCGCGATGAATTAAGTTTACGATGAATTAAGTGTACCTTATTTTTTGCTGATTTAAAAAATGATAACAGTTTCTTGACAATATTTCTAAGCAAGTTTGTTTCACATATGTCTTTATTGTAAATAAATAGTTACTCAACATATTGTTAATCTTTTCTTTATTCATGAACCATTTAACTGATATTTTCTTGAATTTATGATAATACAATCATTTTTCTATTCGGGGACTAATGATGCTTTAGCATCAAAACCTCTACTTTATTGAAACAGAGCTCATATTTATTTCTTAATAGACATACACACCATAGTTTTCTTAGGTAGTACAAAGAGGATGTACGACCAGCAACGGTTGCTATGGTCAGTGCTTATCAGCAATTCTATTTTTAGAATATTGGCCACTGGTAAATCTCTCCTATTTATTTCAAATTATAAAGTTAAACGTCAATATCTTTTGTTGTTTGTTGTTGTAACAATGCAAATAAAAAAACCCCACACAATTTAGAAATAAAAACTAAGCAATGATTTTTTGAAAGCCGATAAATCGTCTTTATTGTTTCTGTACATTAATGTCTTCTCAGATCAACAATATCCATGCGCGTATCAATTAACAAACAAGAATGTCGAACGACACATATATCCCCCTTTCTAGCCATTGACTCACATAATTGGTAATTTAATTACAGAAACTTGCCAAAAACTGGGTACATGGAAGTGTTCAATTATGGAAAAATCAACGGAAACCATTTTGACATTTAAGGCCCATGTGACATTGACCTTTGACCTAATGACCCCTAAATCAATAGGGGTCATCTACTAGTGATGACCAATCATTATGTGAAATATGAAGACTTTGTGATGAATACTTTTCAAGATAATCAGCGGAAACCATTTTCACATTTTAAGGTCCCTGTGACCTTGACCTTTGACCTAGTGACCCCAAAATCAATAGGGGTCATCTACTAGTTATGACCAATCACTATGTGAAATATGAAGACTTTGTGATGAATACTTTTCAAGATAATCAGCGGAAACCATTTTGAAATTTAAAGCCCCTGTGACCTTGACCTTTGGCCTAGTGACCCCAAAATCAATAGGGGTCATCTACTAGTTATGACCAATCACTGTGTGAAATATGAAGACTTTTGTGATACATACTTTTCAAGATAATCAGCAGAAACCATTTTGACATTTAAGGTCCCTGTGACCTTGACCTTTGACCTAGTGACCCCAAAATCAATAGGGGTCATCTACTAGTGATGACCAATCACTATATGAAATATGAAGACTTTGTGATAAATACTTTTCAAGATAATCAGCGGAAACCATTTTGACATTTAAGGCCCATGTGACCTTGACCTTTGACCTAGTGACCCCAAAATCAATAGGGGTCATCTACTAGTTATGACCAATCACTGTGTGAAATGTGAAGACTTTGTGATACATACTTTTTAAGATAATCAGCGGAAACCATTTTGACATTTAAGGTCCCTGTGACCTTGACCTTTGACCTAGTGACCCCAAAATCAATAGGGGTCATCTACTAGTTATGACCAATCACTATGTGAAATATGAAGACTTTGTGATAAATACTTTTCAAGATAATCAGCGGAAACCATGTGGTCTACCGACGGACAGACCGACAGACTGACGGACCGACAGACAGACAGACAGACCGACATTAGCAAAACAATATACCCCCTCTTCTTCGAAGGGGGGCATAAAAACATAAACTAGGTAAAAATCATCAGTACATTTGTGTTGCGCGATAGTCACCGTGAGGGGCATTTAGTAATAGTAATACAGAATACACATTTTTTTTGTGTGCAAAATTAACAACAACAAAAAATCCGTCCAGTAGACCCCTACATTGATTACTTTGAGTTGTTCATACATAAATACCGGGACGAAAGCTGTAGTTATACAGGATTCTATTTATTGATTCGTATCTCTCAATATTTGTAATTCCTTTTCTTGATTATCCACAATGTTAATTGTCCTATCTATCAACATTTCGTCTTTTTGACTACACAGTGTAAGACTACTCACTATTGCTGACAGTAAGATACAGGCTGCTGAAATATACAATATCTGTATTGTTACCTCTAGAAATGACGATAAACAAACCAGTGAAAACTGGCTTCTACCGGTAACCTTTGTTCTTTATAACATCAACAAAATATACAAACGTTATTATTCTCCGCAAATTACAACCTAGAATTGATAGGAGCCAATATTGCTTGACGGATTTAGATAATCTTGTATATTGTTTTCCTTTATCACGCACCACAACCATTACATAAACAAGAGCAGTCCGAGGTGCAACGAGCTTCACTTTTCTCAGTTTTGCACATACTCTACATAAGGTAAAGATCGAATGGACCTTGACTATTTTATACGAAAATAGGTATTTTCAGGCATATTTCATCAAAATGCATCCCTATACAATGTATTATGTTTAATGTCATAAATTAATTCACTGACAATAGGTAGTCTTAAAAAAGGTCATTGTGTCCTTGACCTTTGACATTTTGACCAAAAATGAGTATATCTGATATAGTATTTATCAAGGTACATCGACATACAATGTTTGAACATTGAAGTGCCTAACTCAATGCACTTGGCTTAAATTGCCAGTTTTATGTTTTCTTATCACAGAAACCAGTGACTTTTATCTTTTTTTTAACCAGGAATAGTGTGGACTCATCAAGGTGAATATGCATAAAAATTCCAAGGTACGTGTCTATAATTTGAAATAATTAAAATTTGAATGTTTTTCCAGCGACCTTAACCTTTATTTTCTTGATCTGTCGTGACATATACAAAGTTTGAAGTTCCTAGTTATTTGCCATAACTTCTATGTTTGATATTAAGGTCACAGGGTCACCTTCAACTTTAATCTTTTGACATAAAAATGGATGCGGCATGTAAATCTCATCAAGGTGCATTTCTCTTTGAAAATGGAGCTTACGAATTTAATTAATTAGGTAAAAGCTCTAGCAGTATTTCGTATCGGATTGCATCCCGAATGATGAGAAAAATGTTCTACGTGGCATAGCATTCTTCGAATTCTAAAATACAAGCATGTTATTTTAAATCGGATACTTTTAGAAAAATGTGTTTAATTGCTTCAGCTTTGTTTGACAACGGAAGTATCCACATGGTATCGATGGCTCTCCCTTCAACAGTAGCCAATGTTTAGTAGGAGTGTAAAGCGTTTATAAAGTAAGGTTAAAAGTGTAAGACTGTACCATATGTTTAATCATATATTGTATGGGTTAAATATTTTTTATTTACTGTTTATAAAGTCAATCGAAATCCCTCGTCGATTTCAAGCAATTAACTTTTTATTGGAGTATGACGGAAATTAGAAAAGAGTTATGAAATTTATTCATTCCAGTGAGATATTAAAGAAATTTAATAACCTTCTTAATATCATAACTTACCTGCTATCAAGATTGACGGTTCATAATGGCCACCGACATCCACAAGAAAACCTGTAAAATATAATTATTATGTAGTCATATGTATGGTTCCTCACAAAATGCTTGAAATTATTTCTCATTTGATGGAAAAATGTAAACACATGGAATTCATATTGTAATTTCATTATATCAGTAATGAAATGCACTGAATAAACAATACTTTGAATTGCATGATGCCCTTATCGAAACGTAATTTTTAAAACCTTTTTTTGTTAAGATTCGTTTTCTCAGAAACTCAGAGTCATAAACTTGATATACATGTTTACAATCAAAGTATGTCACCATTTCAGAATGGCAGATAATCCTTTAAATCATTTGTTCAAAGTTATGCCATTTTCTACTTTTTGTTTTGTTTTATTTCTAAGGTAAATTTCTCAAAGACTGTCAAAGTTAATCATTTCAAACTTGTTCATTATTTAAATCTGAATCTATATAAAGGACAGTATCTTTATAATTTTATTTCTCAGTAATTCAAATTTTTGAGTTTCTTTGTTAACTTTTTTGTTAAGGTACATTTCTCAAAAAAATATCAAAGATACTTTAAACTCGAGTACTTGTTCAAATAAATTTGTAAGGGGCAGATAATTCTGAAAGCCATTTATGCTTAATTTTTTCCTTTTTTGTCTTGAAATATTTGTCTTTTTTTCAAAAACCGTTGGAGGTATCCACTTTAAACTAGAAATATTTGTTGAATAAAAATTGCAGGAATATATGTTTGCAGAATTATGTCCTCTATGTTGTCTTTTTTTCAATTATCAAACACTGAAAAAAATGTAGCGCGCTATCCGTGGACAAGTCTTGTTATTGTACAAAGTGACCAAAAATTGAAAGGCGCTTCAATTCGTGCCAAGAATCGCACATAAATGATTTTTCAATTTAATTCCGATTTTATTTCTTTATTATCCTTTGCTGATTTTTTTTGCCATTTGTAAGTGCTCTTGATCTGTGTAAGAAATTCAAAGGTTGTGCTAGGCATTTGGAGCCTGTGGAGTCTGTGGACTTGTCGTCTGCTGTTAAAACTATAATGTAATGACACCAATCAATTAACATGTATTTATGGGAATAATAGGGTTAAACCGGACATACCTGCAAACACTGGTCCAATGATTGAGCCAATTTCAGCGAAGAAAAACTGCAATCCAATAGCAGCAGATATGTAATTAATTCCAACGAATGGTAATGTAACGCCAGTAATTACCACGTAGCAATTACCAAAGAACAGTCCGAAGAGCACAACAAAAATAACATGTCCCCAAAAATAGTTCGATATCACAGAATATATAAAACAAGCGATTGCGACGATTCCGATTGAACCCGAAAACAAATGAATATCTTTGATTCGTTTTAGATTTGCTGCGATGCCTGTTAATAGCCTGCCAAATATAGATAAAATTCCTGAGAGTGAAACAAGAAATGCAGCCTCCAGAGCCGTAAACCCTTTTGAGACGATAAACGATGGAAGGTGCAAGTACATCAATATTGTCCCAAGGCAAAAGAAAAACATTGCCATACATAAACAGATAATTGGTTTGTTGAATAATACACCGAAATAAATCTTCGAAGTCGCCCAGCATGTTTGTCTTTCTCGTGACTGATGTAATGTACGTAATCTCCGCTGTCTCTGTGTATATTTCTCTAATTTACTAGGAAAACACATAACGCCAAAACTTATTACATTTGCCGCCATTGACGCTAATATTATAAAGAGTCCAAATGGTCCATAAGAATCACGTGATAATTGCATTAATGGCGGGAAAATGAAAACACCAGCCCCGACACCGGATACTGCGATTCCAAGAGCCAGATTTCTCCTCTTTCTAAAGTTGAAACTGACAACGACCATTGTTGCTGTATATCCTAGGGCGCCACCAATTCCTACAAAAACAAAAATATTTTTGCCTCAGAAATGCCTTAATTTTTATTTCTCTAAAGCTGTTAAATGTTGGTGTACTTTTATAGTTTCCAAAAAGTTATCCATTGGTTAATAACCTGAATCATCTTTTGCATCTGTTGTTTTTGCAATAAGTACAGTTATTGTGAATAAGTATTTTGTATGGAGGACAAAATATACTTTTGCTACATTTTTGACAAATTAATTTATAATAATCTCTACTTTCTCCAGATAACAAGCATCTAACATTCTCTAAAACCATCATTTAGCCATTATAAAATTCATGATTGCCTTTTCTTAATAAGTAAAAATTTATTTATTTCTGAGGCATAATGTGCCTTTAAGGGAGAAGGTTTATAAATGTTTAATTTGGTTGCTTCGAGCAAGTGACAATTCTTTTAAATGGACAGGTATGTACTGTTTACATTTAATTACTTTGTCGACAACATAAAGTTAACGTAAATTTGCTCTAAATTTGAGGGCCGCTGATCAACTTTTGTACAAGTGCGTTGTATCTGAATACATTTCGTTTCTTCCAAAATCCAAATCTTCTAGATATATTTAATGATACCTGAAAGGATCCCAAAAGTAAAAATGGCCAGTTCCATAGACTGTGCAAACGCTGTTCCGATGTATCCAAGTAGGAAGAATATTCCGGACAACACTAGGGTCGTCCTACAGCTATATCTGTCAATGACTGTACTTGACAAGGGTCCTGGGTTATATAATAGATTTTTAATCGATATAAAAGTATACTTTAATGTTCCTATGTTCCTTTAATACAAGACATTGTATAGAATCATCATCATCATCATCGTCATCACTTACATCATCATCGTTGTTGCTGCTGCCGTTGTTTTTGTTTATTTGACTTTATAGTCTAGAGAATGCTTCTTGGAATCAATTTGATAAATATTTGGAATCAACTGATAAATATTTAGGAAATTTCTGAAGTAAAATGCTTTCGTAAAAGATCGTGAAGACAATTTTCCATTTTAAACTTTTTTATAATGGAATCCTTAACAATCAAAATAGCACAGTTTCCTAAATTTGTTAAATTACAAACTATTTGCATTAATATAAACATTGTCATTTACGTTTGTCAAGACCCAAAAGCCTGATCATATTAATATTCCAAAGTCGTTATAATTACACATTTAGTCAAACATGAATACCGATACAGTTAATCAACAATGAAATTTATCGTCATAATTGACGATTTTTATAAATAAAGAATTAAGAGTGCACCAAATGTTTCAGATCTTCTTCTTTTTTTTTTGGTTTTAAGTCATACTGACCATGTAAATGGCGACTTTCAAGCATTTCTAGAAGAGACCTAGGTGCCCAACACGCTTTATTTCAGGCACCTAAGTATAGAACCACTTACTTCACATAAGCTAGCAAGATAGCTCCTTCATATGGAAGAATACAAATCCATGACGAGATTCTGAAAGGAGATTGAAAAAAGAACTACGTACCACCTAAAGAAAATAACGCCGTGTGCAATGCCCCAGCCCATGACGTCATGGCAACACTTTGGTTGTACCTCTCGAGAAGTGTTGAGTGGGAAATACCAATGGCATACATTAAGCCTCCGAGGATACAGAACGTTCCAAAACTTGCAAACAATACAGCCCAAGCCCATCCTCTGTCCAGATCATTGAATGAGTCTGCTTCATTATCACCAAAGCGCCCTTTATCACTTTCAATATGTCCGCTTTCACTGTCCTTGTCTGCTGTGACCATCCCGCTATAAAACATAAAGACTGATAAATCATTATCTGTAACTATGTCCTAGTCAATACCAGAAGTAGTCTACTAAGTTTCATTGGCTTACAAAGATGCTGTATTTTGTTTACTTGCACTTAGTTCATTGAAAGTCTGCAAAATTGCACTTTGAGCATTTCAAGTCTACATAACTGAACGTATTGCATTCAAGTCATCAGAACTGTATTTATTGTGCATTCAAGTCTACAGAATTAAATATCAGGTTTATAACGCTCATTGCATTAAAACGTACGTCTATTACAGTAACGTTATTCATTAGGCTTTAGTCTTCATTAAATATGCGACAATAACAAAACTAATGATGATATTTCTCTCCTACATAAAAATTGAAATTTAATATTTAAGAATATAATACATTCTTTCAAGAATTACAACCAATGTTATATGTATTACTCGCAGTCAAATACTTCCCTGTCACTCTCAATAATTGTTTCCTTTTGCGCGAGTACACTTTATTTGAGACAATAGAAATTTGATTAATCTTTCATAAAGACACTTGAAATATATCATTTTGTTTTGATAGACAAATATCGGTATATCTTGTTGGCTACATACACTGTATAACAATCATTTGAAACGCCGACATTGAATATATTTTCAATAACACTACGCAAATTCAGCTATCTCTTGAAAGCTAGGTAGCACCGACCGCCATTCATAACTGTTATTTTTCTTCGGTGGATCATTGGCATAATTATACTAGTCATTATGTAGTTAGTCTTTTGTTAATTTTACATGTATTATATTTATGAATGAATATATTAAAAAAAAAAACAATGAAAAACTGATAGTTGAACAATGCACGTACTTACAAATAAAACAAATCGCTGGAGCTTACAGTCTATTTAACTACATGTATTTAATATTCCATTAATACAATTGCAATGATAATTTATTGGCATCAAAATTATATCTTGAAACGAACCCAGAATTCAAAACATTAAATGTTTTGGATATCTTTGAAAACGAAACATTTTCAAGAAATGTTCTTGAAGCATGTATACTGGCTTATTGGGAACCATTTAGTCATGAGCCCAAATGATACTACTCATGACCAACCTCTACGGACTGTAGACCAAATAATTACCTGTTTTTTTGTTTTATTAGTTATTTATTCAAGACCAACCTCCATACCAAATCTTATGACGGTTCTAGCTATTGGTCGAACAAGCTTTTGTGACCTTGACAAAGGGGCGTCTAACCCAAAATTTATAAAAGGTTATCTGCTAAAAGTTGCTAGCATAAAAAATTAATTTATACATCACATACTTTTTATACACCCGTTTGAAAAACAGGTTGTATTATAGTCCCCCCAGATGGCTTCCAATTTTGTCCGGAGCATATCTCCTACACACACAAAAAACATGGAGGAATTTTAATGAAACTTTATAGAAATGTTCACAGCTATGAGAAGCTGTGTCCTGCACATGTACCAGGTCTCTCGGTCAAAGGTCAAGGTCACACTTTGAGGTCATTAAAAAGGCTTGTCCGGAGCAAAACTTATACATGCATTGAGGGATTTCAATATAACGTGGCACAAATGTTCACCTTTGTAAGGCTGAGTGTCGCGTGTAAAATTCAAGTGCCTGTGGTTAAGGTCAAGGTCACACATATGGGTCAAAGTTAAAAATTTGAGAATGTGTACTTAGACCCTTTAGTCATCATTTATTGAGGGATTGAAACACAAATGGTCATCCTGACTACCATTGTGAAGCTAAGTATTGCGCACATAAACCAGATCCCTGCTACCAAGTCAAGGTCACATAGAGAGGTCATAGTTTGTGCACGGGGACCATTTAGTCATCATATATTGATGGTATGAAACACAAAAGATAACAATCATGACTACAAGTATGACACATGTAATTGATGTTAATATTTATATGGTCAAGGTCACTAGAGATGATAAAGTATCCAGATATTGTCCGGATATTGCTTAGAGCATATCCTATATGCATATCTATAATGCCCACATCTCTGACAAAAGCCTTTGTGACGGGCGTATTTTGCGACAATGTTGCCCTTGTT